CTGCCTAGGAAGGCATCAGGAATAGTCTAAACCGACACATTCCAAAATGCAGGTTGAATGAAGAGGAGACATGGAGGACAGGTTTCAGTGAACTTCTGAGATTTGGAGCAAAACAGTGCAGAAAAACAAGGTTTTCATGTGTCAAAACCCTACATCTTAGCAAGGAACGAACTAGGAGAAATAGAAGGCTTAAAGTGAGAAGTGAGCCATGATTATGTAAGAAAGCAAACAGATGCTAGTCTAGGTCCTCTCATCTCACTACTCCCAAAGATGCTGCGCCCGTGGTGTGTGTTTCTCTTTCCTTCATCCTCTAGCTAGGTACTTTTTGACCAGACTTCCTTTTAATCTGTCTGTAATACACATGCACCAGAACACTGCCAAATCTTTTATGTACTTGTTTTAACAAAAGAGAGCATGTGTGCACGTGCATGCTAGAGAGAGAGAAGGATGGAGGGAAGGAGAGAGAGAAAGGACCCTCAACAGGGTATCATACCATGACCCCTAGCCCTCCAGCTTCTCAGGATCCTGGGCATCTGTGCCCAGCATGCTTTCAGGCTGAACCAGAGATGTGAACCCATGGTGGCCATGTAGCTTCGAGCACTGCAGTTCACACCCTCTGACTGTCTTACTGCACTGGGTTGGGCTCACTGCCATGGCCTGTTGCCAAATCTGACAGTATGACAACTGTGCTTGATTCTATAACTATTTCTGCTGTCTCCAAATTTTCTACTGTGCACCCCCATCAGAAGAAAAACACAGAAACAAAAAAGACTGAGTACACTTTCAATACGCTGGCATATTTATACACCAGTTACATAATAATTACCACAAGCCTCTGTACTGAGCACTAATAAATTTGTTTAGTTTTTTAAAAAAAAATTAATAAGGGCTCAGCCACGGTGGCATATGCTATGATGCTGTGTTCCACAGGCTGGGAGCACGTGGGAGGCTCAAGTTCGATTCCTGGTATAATATCTGAAGGCGAGGCATAGCAGCACATGTCTATAATTATAGCTGGGAGGCTGAGGTTGGAGGACTGTGACACAGTGAGACATTGTCTAAATAAATACATAGGAATTAACGTAACTTTTGCTATTTTCTTATATTCTAGAAGTGGTTTTTCCCTTTGGACTACCAGAATAGCCACATTAACCCAAAGAACGAGGGAATGGGGATTCTGTGGGAAAGATTCAGTTGGACTAGCCCCAGTCCCTTTGTTATACTGGAAGAAAGGGACTCCCTCCCAAGGATGCATACAACTGCTCTGCGGGCAGGCTCTGGAAGGCAGTGTACAAATTCTGCTTCAAAGTCTCCAGCCTGTTCATATCTCTACATGAAAAGGACTCAAACTGCTTCACTTTCCTATTCACTCCATATTTGCACTATTCAAGACAGTCTTGGCCATGAGAAGATTTCTATGGCCCGAGCAACACCGAGGACAGCTGCCGTGCTCCGCTGTCTCAGGTTTGAACACTGATTGTCTAATTCTTCAGTCCCTTTGCAGTTATTAGCTGTGATTTCTCCTCCATGATTAACAACTCTCTCTCATCAACCACTTGATTATCTTCAAAGATAATTTATACTAGAGGCAGCATCAACTATGACTTCTTTCCCTGTATTTTTCAGAGTCAAGTATTGGTGTCCTAGCAATTTCCAAAGGTGACTGATTTTATTTAGGGTTGCTTTGTTGTTGTTGTATGGAGTATCGAGACTCATCCATTTTTCACTCAACTGATTTCAATCCACTATAGTTAGCGTTCTTTTACTCTTCAAACGACCCCATTTTGGACCTCGTGTCCTTCTGATTGCCCTCTGGAGGTTTTCCTAAGCTTTCTTGCTTTCTGGCATGACAAGATGTTTAACCTTAAAAATTCTTGCCTTAGACCTGGAGTCAGCTAGAAGGAAGCTCCTTCTAGTGGAATTACGTATCTAAGGGATCTCAATTTGAGTACTAAGGCTACTAATTTTTACGGGGCTGCCTTACTTTAGTCCTTTCCAAAGTAAAGGGCGAGGAAGCATTTTCTAGTGAAAGAAGAAATATGGCTTTATATTGATATTTCCTAATCAATAGAAGATTACATATTTTTACTAAAATAAAATACTTCAAGTACCCTCCTCTTCCTGTATACTAAGAATCTTGGT